GATCTCAATGCCTATTTCCGAGTGGAAATGGGATGATAGATCTGGAAGTTACATAATGATCACAATGCCTAAATCCAAATCATATCAACCTCCTCCTAAGTAATTAATTCAACTTATGTACWCAHAATCCAATACCCTCTAGTAAGTATGATTAAAAARACGGCATATGCATAATATTACTCATTTAATATCAAGTATTACACRCGATTTCTATAACCGTGAATTATTCTCTAATTCCAATAAAAGCCCCTCACCCATATATCTTGGGGATTTTAAAGTTTTTAAGGCCAACGAAACTAGAAATGTGCAATCTAGTTASTGAAAACCAATTTYCGTCTCATCCAAGACCAACRTCAACGGAAATCCTACGTTGACAATCTCCTAACTTATAATTCACATAATAATCAAGTGAGTAATCTTTTTAGAGGCTATAGTATACGGTAGCAAATATCGTAAAGGTATGATTATGAGATAAGTTTTTAACCAGATTTTGGAGTTACTGTTATTAAAGGACTTGGGATTGAGAATAAGGACAAATGAGTAACAAGGAGCAGTTAGAGTAGTAATATAAGATAGGTAATCCATAAAAAGGCAAGCACCCTTGAGCATATATGTTAAACTATTGACAGCCACATACTCCCAAGAGTTAAACGGTAGCTAAATACTCAGTCGTACGATTAGGAATTTCCATAAAAGAGCAAATGGACTCACCTAGGAATATTCGAAAGGATCCGACTTAGGACCGTTACTGTTTTCTTGGTTGCGAAGTACAACAACAGCCGCTGTTTAGGGTGGGAACGGGCGAAGAAAACAGCTTGACAAGCTGCTATTTTTGGGCGGAAAAGACGAAGGAAACGACTCGATTAAGCTGCTGTCTTTCTTTGGTTGCGACAGGACGTGAAGAAACAGCACAGTGAGGCTGTTGCCTGCTGTGCGCTGTTTTGCTGTTCGGCTCTGGCAGAAAGTACGTAGCAGCTCTTCTACCTTGCTGCTGCTGTTGTTGAACGAGGAGAAACGCCGGCAGCAGCTGCTGGTCGAGGCAAACGCAGGCAGCAGCTTGCTGCTTGCTGCTGCTGCTGTTCGAGAAAACGCAGGCAGCTTTTGCTGCTTGCTGCTGCTATGTTTTCTTCCTTCTAGTTGCTGCTGTTTCTTTCCCCTCGTTGCTGCT